TGAGGGAGATTTATGTCTATATATTACATTGCACATTGATGCATGAAAATGGACAACAAATGGCTCCTAAATATAGGAGCTTCAACTGGAAACCCCTCTCAATAGGCAACCATTAGAATGGGGTGGGGGGATCATTCATACTGTGGTTTGAAGTTTTTGTTTTAGGGTTAAACGATTGCACATGTTTTTTATATTTTTTTTATATTTTTTTCTATTTCTATTATAATTTTTGAAGGGGTGGCCATAACACAAGAAACACTGTTTATTACTACAGTTTTCTTCTAATCCTTTTATCTCTCCATTCAAGTCATGGTACACAAGGCTAACTGGTCTTTATTATATTGACCAACTCACAAATTGGATCACATTTCTGATATATCTGCTTTATGCAGATCACATTGAACATATAAATGTAGTTTGAGTCAATATGACCACACACACGAAGTTATTATGTAAGTTATTAATAATAGAGAATAAGGCACTACACTAGCGTCACTTTAAAAGATCATGCTCACAATGAGCCCTGCATATGGGGCACACACAGGCATGTACAGGCAGTACACACAGGGACATATCCTTTGATACAATCATTTATTTACTTCACATTGTTTCTGTCAACAAGATAATTAGTAACACATGGAAGCCAATTTAAAGGGTTTTTTTTTTCCCTTGTTGATTTATCAAGTCATGTATGCACTGTTATTTTAAAACATTAATCACATATGGACATACCTATGGCTATGAGATATACGATGTGTTCATATCCCTTATGCGTTGAATATTAAAGAAATGAAATCATGTAAAACACAGGTCGATGGATGTGGGACTAGGCAGCCCCTTCTTTCCTGCGTGAGCCGGTGGTCCTCCCTTCCTATAGTGGCCCCGAGGTCCCCCCCATATTGGGATATAGGAAACTGAACGGAGCATCCTTCTTCCCTGCTCTCCTTGGAGGATTCTTCCTCCACCCAGTCTCCACAGAGAGAACTCGATCTCCATTGAGCTACTACAAATTGGGTGGTGAGTAAAGTGGTATCTGATGGTGAAAATGGTGGTGGGACTATCTCCATTGGGCACATAATTAAACCAAAACATATGCATTATTTACTCTGTGCACTTTATATACTCAAATAAACCCAATAATCTTGTGGACTCATGCTAATTGAATATATTGTCTTTCATGAGGGTAGGTTACAATCCCCTGAAGAAGCCAAATGGTGAAACGCGTAGGGTTTGGACTGATAATATTCATTTCAACCACTATGTTTGAACATGTTTAATGGGTTCATGCTTCTAGCTTAAACTCTGTTTTTAGCAACTGTTGTTGCTTCTACTTTTTATTTAATTTTTGAATGTATTTTTGTAATTTATATGTTATTTAAATAAAAATTATTTTATCAAACATAAAATAAAAGCAAAGAGAAGGGAAACTACCATGGATCACAGTAAGGCGCACATTACAGTATTGGTTTATGTTAAAAAATCTGAGGGTTTAATGTCACTTTAAGTGTGTCCCAGTAACTTCCCACAATATGCTGGAAAACATTCTCCCAACTCCCTGAATAGGGAGATCTATTGTTAAACAGGGAGTCATGACATACTGACCTGGAGTCATGACATACTGACCTGAGTAGGTCTTGAAAACCCTCCTCTCAGTTCACAGTCATGCTAGATATTAGGATATCAGTGTAGGCTTCTTCACATTCTAGAGCAGTGGTCTCTAACTCAATTTACTAGGGGCCACTGGACAGTTTTTTTTAGTCCCATGGGGGCCGCTACTATATACGGTACCAGAGTTAATGTATGCACATGTTACAAGCGGCAACTGTCACCCATTCAAGTTAATGATCGAGTGACAGCTGCTGCATGTAAACGCTGGATACCGCATGTAATCATATCTGAAAGGATTACATGCAGTTAGGAATCAATCACTATCCCTGGATACACAATTGTGTATCCAGAGATAGTGATTGTTTTTGAAACTGCATGTAATCATATCACATTTGATTACGTGCAGAGTGCAGGCGTTTACATGCAGCAGCTGTTCCCCGATCATTAACTTGAATGGGTGATGCTTGCTGTGTGTAAATGTCAGATTAGGGATTCCTGTGCAGTAAAACGCAAGTTTGTGTAATGGTTCCCGGGGACGTCGCCGTTCCGAGTCACGGACTCAAGCTGAAGCTCCGCCGCCGACGTCAGACGGGTCTGGCCCCTTCCTCGTCGTAAGACGCGACCTCGCAATTGTCTGGCATTCTATCAACTGATGCGGACGCCAGACGAGTGCCGGTCAGCATACAGAGACTACCTACAACTTCGCTCCCTGAGTTAGGGAAGGAAGATCCTCAGCAGAGTGTTTCCACTCTCATGTTTGCCTCACAGGGAGCTCTGCGCTAGCGTGCCCAAAGACCAACACCCCTGGCCTGTTCTGGACAGCTAACAGGAAGTATACCCCTCTGGGCTGCCGCCTATTGGGACTCAGTGATTCTCATATGTGGAAGTTACTGTACTGGCACTCTGAAGCGTAATTCATATGTGGTGAAGATATTACATTGGCACACTGAAGCTTAATTCTTATGGGGTAACGGAGATATTCATCAGTTATCCAAATCGTTGACCTTGAGTAATCCCGTTTATTCATATATCTCATCCTATCTAATCACACTAAAGGTAGCTAGATTACTGAGGTTGGAAGATAGGCCGATGATGCACTGAGGTTGTTTGTCAAATTAACCCTTGCCATCACGTACTCCTGGGCCTGAGCACGTGACTGTTAACGTGTCTCTGCAGCTGAGTTCCATCTTCCTATTAAGTAGATTACTACAGTTTGTGACACAGAATCCCTAATCGCACCTGAAACATAGGTGTGAATGGGGCCTAATACACACACACAAAAATACAACCCCCCCCCACACACTAATACACTCCCCCCCGCACAAATAAAATAATACACTGCACCAGCACACATATTAATAAAGTTCCCCCCTCCCTTCTTTCCTTCCAAGCCCCCCTCACCTGCTTGCACCTTTGCAGGGAGGAGGCACATCAGTCCCTGGTGATCCAGTGGTGATTAGTAAGGTCTAGTGCAGATCTTACTAATCATCAGAGCTGTCAGAGCTTCGGCCGGAGCTGACAGGAGCAGCTCTGCGGTCTGCATCCTACAGAGACCCAGACCATGTAGCTTCTCCTGCAAGTCAGGCATGCGGGCCGACTTGTCAGCTGGCTGCGGACCACATAGTACCGGCTCTTGGGCCGGTACTTTGAGACCCCAGCTCTAGAGTGTGAATGAACCCTCAGACTAGGTTCAAACTACTGTAGGATTCATGCAGGGAGAAAGGGACTCATTCCTCCTCACTGAAAAAGTTATTTAAGTTTATTTATTATATTCTTTTTATTAAATGAATGATTTGTGTTCATTCAATGGGGTACTTTTGCTACTACCTTTAATAATACTTGCTACTATATTTGATAATGATGTATTTACTAGTGTGCTCTCAAACTGTTAGGCCCCTTTTACATGGGCTGATCAGGAGAGGATCCATGCACGGATCAGATTACCCCGATCCGGCATAATCCAGTCCGGGAAAATTGAACCCTGTTCTGTTCATTTTACCGCACCTGGCCAGAGGCAGGAATAACCGGGTGTAAACAGACGCCCATCTGTTTACACACGGCTGCCCATAGACCTGTATTGGCCATCTGATCGAGAGGCGAACAGATCGGAGAAGCCATGTGAAAGGGGCCTTGGAAATACAAAAATTTCGAAAATGTATAAATAGGTATGCGAGAGAAACATGCTACCCTTACATGTCCAGTGCATTATAGTAGTTGCTGGTGTATTTATGGTAAACCAAATTGTCTATAAGCGACACTTTAAAAGCCTGTACAGGTCATCAGTTTAGAGTTAACCGTGAATATTAGAATAATTATAATTATTTCTGTCACATTTGCGCGAAATCTAACATGTGTGACGCAATCGTCTTTTTCGCTGCCTGCTGTCAGAATACAAAGGAAACAGCGGGGAATTTTTCCATTAATGCCCGTAAGTAATCGAGGAATCTGTTCTAATTTTTTCATTCAGCCCACGGGTTGAACGAAAAAAATAGAGCCATGGCTTTACTGACACAAAAGATGGGATTATGTAACTAGGACAGGACGGTTCCACAATTTTCACACCTCATCCTGTTCTTGGATAATCAAGATCTACACATTCCATGGAGATAGGATCAAGGTACCTGTGTGGATTTAAATGCTGGAGTATCTTCCTGATACTCATTAGAACTGAAGACGTTTTTGAACAATGTTACATAGTTACATAGTATTTGAGGTTGAATAAAGACATAAGGCCATCAAGTCCAACCTATTGTGTGTGTGTGTGTGTGTGTGTGTGTGTGTCCCTGAGTGTTCTCATTCTTAAGAGTACCTGTACCCTTGTACATTACGTTCTCTCAGGAAATCGTCCAAAAGCTTCTTGAATGATTCCAGACTATTTGCGGAAATCACTGCTTGAGGCAGCAAGTTCCAGACCCTAACCGCGCGAACTGAGAAGAACCCCCTTCGCCCCTTGTGTTTGAATTTTCCATTTGTTGTCATTGTCCATTTGCTATTCCCAGTGAAGCTGTTTTCACATCAACCAAGCATTCGTGCCAATGAAAATTACTATATTTCCTTGCTCATAACTGAGTATTTGACGTTTACACTAGGTAACTAAACTTTCTACTTCTTTAGTAAACAATCCCCACTATGTCATACATGTACTTAATGGCCTCTGATGAAAGAGGCCATTTGTCTGACTCCCAGACCGCAAGTTAGTTCAAGGTCAGTAGGGCAGAACTTGTTGAGTTTCATAAAAAGTGATATAATTTCCCTGGAGACATTGTGTGGCTTGAAGGCTTTAGAATTTTAACTTCTAAGACCGATGTTAGGCTTTTGGACATGTTTTTTTAATTAATGTCAGTTAATGAATTTTATGTTGAAGATCCCTAAACCAAATTTGCTTTACACAGGTGCATTATAAGAAGACAGGTCTGCCTTACCAGCTTTGAGAAATTTGAATGCCGCCAATATGAATGCATGCCACGTCAAATTAAATGTGAACATTTGCGAGATCCAGTATGTGATAGTGATAATATGGAACATCCCAACATTTGCACTTTGTATCAAAGAGGAAAACAACTATCATATAAGGGGTCATGTCAGGTAAGACTAAGGGACTAAAATTTTGAATAACAAAAAAAAAAGTATTTTCCAGACAATGTTCTCTGTTGATTGATTCTGACAACATATTATTTTTCTCTCCCAAGACTACAGTGGATATCACTGAAACAGACACTGATACGAATGCTTCTTATACGAAAGTTCTTAAGTAAGGAACTTTTGTTACTGTAAAACAATTCCCATTATGTTTCCATCATAGTATTGTATCATTTCATAGTTTCATTTGCATATACACTTTAAATTGTTTGGTTCATGATAGTAAAATGGTACTAAATTTACATGTGTCTGTTTTCATTTGTAAATATCCAAGGGATTAATGCAACCAACTTCAAGACGCTGTAAACTTGCAAGTGAACAAAAAAGTACTGTCACAAGTTTGCTAGCTAATGTTTTAGTTAGTGTACAACATTTGCTGAGTTTTTCCATTCTGTTTGTCATTCAAAAACATTTTCAATTTTCTACCCTATAGACTGAAGTGTGTTGCATTAATTAAATGTCTACTCATTTCCTGTTTTACTTCATCTTTTATTGTCATTTGAATAATACTAAAA